GTTTAAACTAAATGTGGACTGACAATTACTTGATAATTTATTTAAATTATGAAACTTGTTTGCATCCTACAAAACATACTGGCCCAAATTCAACCAAAGTTTTTTCTCTACACTCTGAAAACTTGATTTTCTGGGCACACACATTTTCACTACACACTTGAAAATATTTCTGATTGTTTCCTTTGAAAAGTTTATTTAATTTGAGAAGTTCCATTTATATCTTATAAGACATAATTACATCACAGTGAGCGACAACTTTAAAACTGGCACTGCGTATGTACAAAGATCAACACTAATGAATTAAGTTTCAAACATACCTTCTTCCAGTCTTCTGATGGAACATAGTCCTCATCTTCATCTGACTCCTCCTCTGCATCATTATTGCCTGAGACCAAAAGTGACATAAATTTTATGAGATCTCACAAGAGAGTCAGAGTCTGAGGTGTTTTCTTATAAAGAAAAAAATCTTATGACTCCTTCATAAAAAGTAAAGACGATTAGAAGGCACTTACTTTCAAAATACATTAATTTCTGGGGACGAATAAGTTCTGCTGTGCCAAGGGACCTGACTGAGCGTGTGCGAACCTCAGAGGTTGTCTGGGCCTCATTCCCCTGTCCCGATGAGTTCTTAACACCCTCACCCTAAAAACATACAGTGTTACAAATGTTAAAGATGTTGCTAAAATTACACACATTAGGTTTCTAGAGATCATTTAACTGTAAAGAAACTCAAGATATACCAACAAACCTCATTTCTTTTCAACTCGCCAGTGCTTCTGCTGCTTTCATCATTGTCAAGGTCTTCTTCCTCATCCTCCTCCTCGTCATCCTCTTCTTCCTCAGGTTCCTCTTCCTCCTCTTCATCCTCATCGGCTGTTGATCCACCCCCATAACCATACAGACTCAGCAGTTCATGAATGGGCATTTCTCCCTCCTGTTACAGAAGAAAAACTAAATGTCTTGCAGAACTCCACTCACTAAGGAAGACACTAGTTTTTTAACAGGGTTGACGAAATCAAATATGTGCGGAAAGCCTGAAACTAACCCGTGCAAGATCTTCAATCTCGTTTGCATTGGTCTCATCTGATGCCTCCAACATTTCCTCTTCCTCCAGGGTGCGCTCATCATCAAAGTCATGGACAAGCATGTCTGCTGATGGGTCGAAATCGTTGTCATCGGAACCTGCTGAACCTCCTGGGGAAGTAACAACAAAAATAAAAATGATAATGTAAATTCAGACTTACAAAATGAAATACTGATATATGAATAAAACTATGACTAAACTTTTACTTAAGGAAATTATGAACAGATCCAACAAAGGGCCAATAAGTACATTTGTTTAAATATAAAGTACAAGTGGATTATGGATATATTCAGGGTGGGTGATAAGTATATCAAATTATACATTTACAATATTGATATAAATCATGAGATCGAACCATTTATCATAACTCAATTTAAACTCTTGGGGGTTATATTAGTCAGATGGTGAGGTGTGTTATTACAACTCCAGAAAATTAATTACAAATAATGAAAGAATGCTCATCAAAACAAAAATTAATCAAATTTAGCACAACACACGGCAGTCATAATCACTGAATTACACTATTAGAACATTATAAGGATATAAAAGCAACTGATATATGGTATAAAAACTAAGGAAAAAATGTTAAGTTATGGCATTTAGTGTTTCATTATTAAGAGTTTTACTGTTGTTTGTAACCATAACTCACTTCCAAATAAATGTAATACAAACAACTGGTCAAAGATATTAAAATATTCTTAACATTAAGGCATCAACATTAACTTCAAGCATTCAATTAAATATGTATTAGATGCAAGTCTGTAGAAAACCCGTGCACCCAAAGAGAAAGAGAAACTTTATGTACCTGGGCTCGAGTTCCCGAGGGAGGGCTGGAAAACGGAGAAGAGGAGCATGAGTGAAGTTACAGAACAGATTCAGAGGCAAATACCTCATTAGCTCTACAACCAGAAACCGTCCACCATCGCTGCTTGTATCAAAACACACTGAAGTTACTTTGCCGGGGAGCACTGGAGGGAGTTAGAGAAAGCGCGCCCTGAGAGCGGCTCTACAAGAAGAGAAACAAAGAGTGTCACCACTTCCTGCGGGATCGTGGAGGCTGCAGCTCAGAGACGTGATTACAACAGGAGCTGTGGCGTTTACCGCCTGTATTCAACCGCACTTAGCTTAGCACCACGGCCAGGTGCGCACTAACTAAACGCGCTCAGCTGGCTAACTTGCATTACAAGTTGCAAGCTAACACTCTTTTATACATTGGGCTAACGCGTTCAAGTTGAGCTTCGGTGTCAGCCGCTTGAAAAATGAAGACCCCGAAGCAACACGACATGTATCCGTAGCCGTGAAAACATCGTCACACGTCCGATAAAACGCCTAAACACGGGTAGTTAAGTATTCTTCAACAAAACCGCGAAGTGCCACAGCTAACCCTACAGTCAGAGCTAGCACTGCTAACGTTAGCTTAACCCGAAGTTTACTAAACATCTAAGTGTCGGGAAATGTTAATTATCCAGCGACGCGCCCGTTTGTTCTCTAATCCACTGAGTTAAAGCGGCAACTCGCACACGACGCGCACACTGGACCGAATAAACTGAGCGGCAGCGCTAAATTATGTTTTTCCCGTATATTTATTTCACTCTCTTACCTCCGCCATGTTTGCAATCCTGCAGGGTCACGTCAGGGGTCAGCAGCGGTGCCCGGATGTAGAGCCCCGCCCACCTGCGGTATCAAGAGCGTGATGCCTCCAGAGCGCGTGGAGCTGCTCTGACGTCATGACTACTGTGATAATGATAATAATGATGATAATAAAAACCAAAAAAATCTAACAAACGTAGTATAATATACAGGTTTAAACAAAGAACACAATATGTATAATATAATATATATATGTAATAATATATTATAATCATAAAAAATTACCTGTAAGACTAAGTATTTTTCATTATATCCTAATCAAGAGAACTGAATGTATTGATATGCTACCAAATGTAATTTCATTAATTAGTAATAAGTAATTTAGTGATCAAATTAAATGTTCCACTCTAATCCCTTTATATAAACTATAACAATAGAGTAGGTCAGAGAAGGACAAAGGCAAATATGCTGCCTTTCAGGTTTATTTTGTGATCGTGGGAATCACAGAAAACAACCCTTGAAAAGAATCAAATCAAAAAAAAGGTTATGTCCCAACAAAGGTGGTTTCCAAGAGGACATTACACTTTATATCTAGATCCGACACCAGATTTCTAAAGTTCTGTTGCATGTACTAAAACTTCACCTTATACTTTACAAATGTTTCATTGAATCCGTCTCGGCCCTCAACAGGTCCATCACAACCCTCTGAACAAAATCATTAGAATGAGCAGCAAAATAATTGGACTGGAGCAGGAACCATTAAGATTCAGACACCACACACACACATTATCCTCAGCCAGTACAGTCACATATACTCAGGCAGGAGACACAGATCACTTAATCCTTTTCAAGCTTTGTGCCTACATCCATCAGACTCGTTCATGGTTGATCTATTAATTTTAACACTCTATTGTTTATTTTTTACCTTCACAGTTATAAGATGTATTTACCACTGTTGATTACCCGCTGGATGTTGTATGTTGTGATTAAGTTTTTTGAATTGAATGACCTGGCCTATGAGTACAGTGGTGGGTTTCTGTAAAGTTGTACAATCACAGGGATAAAGGGTTTAACACTGGGGTTTTCTCAACCAGAAACCATGGAGCACAATCTCATTCATAATAAAACTATGCTTTTAAGAGATACAGTAGAAAGGATATAACCATGATCAAATTTGTTTTGTTTTCTGTTACCAGCCCCCACCTTATTTATTTAGACATGGGCCAGTAATGACCATTCTGAGGTCGACTCTTTTCCATGACAGAGTTTATTTTGACCAGTGTACTGGTAATTTAACTGTCTCTTCTCGGAATCACTGATTTATGTTCCTGATAGTGACTAACACACTCCACTATGTTGCTATGTAGAGAGCCATCACCTCAGTTTGTCACACATGGAATATCTCCGGCTATCCATTAGTGGACACTTTACCAAATCCACAGCAATAAAAACCTTGCAGTTCAGACATAAAGGTGCATTTCTTTCTTTAACATTTATGAAAATTGTATTTAATCAGTGAGTCCCACAATGGCCCAGATTCCCACACACATCCCGAACAGCCTGAGTGACATCCGTTTGTTAAAAGCCCATGATGGTCACAAAAGATAATAAACATATTTTCCTCAGGATCCACCTGGGACAGCGTACATGACATCAACAGACACTTGATATAAAAGGACTGATGCAGGTAGATGTTTCCTGAGAATCAACAGAGAGTGTTAGTGTTTGTTTGGCATCTTGGTGCAGTATCTTCTTTTAGCACCATGAGTTCATTACTCCTGCTGGCGATGCTGCTGTCTTTGTCGTGTGCAGCGCTGGCTCAGACCCAGGATGATACGAACACACTGAGGCTGTGTGGTCGGGCATTCCTGAGAGCAGTGGTGTACACTTGTGGAGGATCCAGGTGGAGAAGACTGATGGGAGGAGAGGACACTTTGCAGGATGGTCAGTACACAGCATTTGCCTCTAGCACTTTGGTGTTAAAACCACCAACTTAACCAACTTACAAAATAAAAGCCTTGACTTCTGCTCAACAAACTTTGATATCTATTCGCAGGCAACAGGGGGCCAAACTACCTCCAGACGACAGATGTTTCAGCAATGATACGTCATCAGCGTGACCAAGACCAAGCACTTTTAACAGTGTGCTGTCAACTAGGCTGTCGACGGAGTGACCTCTCTATGCTCTGCTAGAGGGGAACATCCACAAGAGGGCATCATCCAGCTGTCATCGTAGTCATTCATTAGTTTGAAATTAAGTTTAAAACATTGTCAGAATAATGTGATTTCATTTTCCATGAGGACAAAAATAAAAAACACTGAAATCTGGTTTTGAAAAGAATCTTGTTTCATCAGTACACACAAAGACAAAATAAACAGCAATGATAAAGAGCAGTCAGACATGCAAAATGTCAGGGATTCATTCAAAGTAAACAGCATAGACAGTTGCCGTTCCAAACAGAGAGCTGTTCTTGAAAGAATAGCTGGCGAAGGTGTCGCTGGCTGTATCCCACAGACAGCGGCTGCTGATTTGCATGCCCTGCCCAGTGAGCTGGCCGATGTGGACCAGGACGACCACCTTATATCTGGGAATCATGAGATCCTTCACACGGGCTCGTATCACCTGAGAGAGCCAAAGAGAAGAATGAGCCTTGATAAAGCAGAAAGATTCACAGGTCTCCAAAAGGAGCCGCATGAATGAGCTTTTTCATTTTTATTTACTTCACATATTGTTTTGGTCATTTTTTGGGACCACTCCACTTCATATCTCTCTTCTTGGAGGTAAGTGGTGAGTACGTCCTTCAGTATGTCTGTGACAGCAGGGACAGGGAAGCGTTTAGAAGGTCCTGTGGTGCAGAAAACAAATGACCCAAAGACAAACAAGTTTTACTTCTGCTGTTAGGTTAGTGAAAATATGAAGAAAGAAAAGGGCATGAATGAAAAAGCTTCGATAGATTGAAATGGTTAAATACTGCATCCAAATGTCAATACAAAAATATTTTGGAGCGCAAATCTCCAAGGAACAGTCGCTATTGTCTGTCTATGTTTTGTCTTTAGTTAGTGATGGTGGTGGTGAGGTGCAGTGTTGAGGTTAATGTTATCTCACCCGTCTGGTAGGTGTTCTCCATTTTCACAACCATCCGAGCGTCATCGTGGTGTCCAAATTCATCGATGGATGACACAATACTCACGGAGCTGAAAGACAGGATCACAATGAAGAACATGACAGAAGAATGACAGTGGTGTTTACATCATCTGATTGAGTGACTTAGAGCGATGTGATAATCAAAATAAGATTGTTTAAAAGTTACATGCTGGATATCAGTCACAGACTAAGTCTGTTTACTGAAGATGGAAGATATAAAATAGTACTTTCCAGTGTGATTACACAGTTTACTCACTCCTTAGTCCTGCCAGTGGTTTCCTTGCCTCTGACTCCATGACTTGCCTCTGAGGGAACCTTCAGCGTCCTCTTCTCTCGTCTCTGAGGTTTGTCTTTCAGCAGCTCAGACATGACGCTGCTCTTCACAGGATAATAACCAGGCTTAAATACAAGGTCGATACTTCAGTTAATATTAAAACATGCAGTAGTACACAGGATGTGATCTGCACACAGATGCTATCTGCACATCACAATATGTCCTTATATATATACACTTTACTTTATAACATTTCTAGGTCAACCACTACAGGGAAAGGTGTATATAGTGTACATACTCAGCATTTTAAATTCTATTAGTATTCCCTTGTCTACCTCAGTCTGACCCGCCTGCTGCTGTAACACCCCGGTGTGTGGATCAATAAAGTTTTATCCTATCTCATCTTAACTCCACCACATGCAGCACTTGAAAATAAGAAGTTGTCTCTTATCAAATACATATTGTTGTTGTTATAAACGTGTGCTATTAAAAGGAAAATATGGAGCATTAACTTTGCATGTTTTTATAAGTTAGCTAGCTTATATTTGGCGTTGGTTTGTTTGTAAGTTGCTAATTCTACGTGCTAACTCCAACCGTGTATGAAAGCAAACATTTACAGAACGTAGCGCTGCATCAACATGTGTCAAAGAGAAATGACCCAGAGGGAACTGTAACATGTTTTTACCGACGTCAGAGCCTCTGGATCCGAACACCGAACTGCTAGCGTGGACGGACTAGCCCCGGAGAGCTTGGTGTTGCCATGACGACCAGGAACCACCAGTCAGTGGGAGGACGGCTGAAGTCTCGCGAGAACTAAGAAGTAAACTGCTGCAAAGTTGGAATGGGGATTATAATGTCAAATATTCAATTGTATAATCTACACGTGTGCTAGAGTCAACACTTTCACCATGTTTTCTTTAAGAGAGACTGCCCATCCTTTAATACCAGAGTTACTGACAGCTATTTGTCTTATTAAATAATCAATCGATTATCTAAACAGCTGCATATTTTTCAATCAGCTATTTTATCCATTGTTGTTATTTTCAGCTCTAATAATCAGCTCAAGTTTGAAATAAAAACTTTACTTAAGTTTAGTCAACTTACCCTGCTATGTTTTATATCACTGTTTTTCTGTAGTGATCGACACATGCTCATTAACTCCATTACATGTTATTTTACTAATACATCTGTCATGTTTCCATCTATTTATGAGGAGCAGGGAAAGTGGTGGAAAACTCCGGAGAGCAGTGGTGTAAACTTGTGGAGGATCCAGGTGGTGAAGACTGATGGGAGAGGAAAATTTGCTGGACGGTCAGTACACAGCATTTGCCTCAAGAATTCTGGTTTTAAAACCACCAATTTGCAGGCAAAAGGGGGGCCAAACTTCCTTTAAAACGACAGATGTTCCAGCAATGTTACATCAATAAACAATACAGATAAAGAGCAGTCAGACATGCAAAATGTCAATCAATCAATCAAATTTATTTATACAGCACGGTATAACAACAAACAGTTGTCTCAGGGTGCTGCACAAAAGTCCAAGATCTTGGGAAAGACTAAATCCACCTTGTTCCACACCGAGCAAGAATGAGCAACAGCGTGGAGGAAAAACTTCCATTTGGATGAAACCTCCAGCAGAACCAGGCTCGGTGTGGACGGCCTCTGCCAGGAACGGTAGGGGTGAGTGGAGATTCAGGGATTTATTCAAAGTAAACAGCAAAGACAGTTGCCATTCCAAACAGAGAGCTGTTCTTGAAAGAATAGCTGACAAAGGTGTCGTTGGCTGTATCCCACAGACAGCGGCTGCTGATTTGCATGCCCTGCCCAGTGAGCTGGCCGATGTGGACCAGGACGACCACCTTATATCTGGGAATCATGAGATCCTTCACACGGGCTCGTATCACCTGAGAGAGCCAAAGAGAAGAATGAGCCTTGATAAAGCAGAAAGATTCACAGGTCTCCAAAAGGAGCCGCATGAATGAGCTTTTCATTTTTATTTACCTCAGATATTGTTTTGGTCATTTTTTGGGACCACTCCACTTCATATCTCTCTTCTTGGAGGTGAGTGGTGAGTACGTCCTTCAGTATGTCTGTGACAGCACGGACAGGGAAGCGTTTAGAAGGTCCTGTGGTGCAGAAAACAAATTACCCAAGTTTTACTTCTGCTGTTAGGTTAGTGAAAATATGATGAAAGAAAAGTGCATGAATGAAAAAGCTTTGATAGAGCAAATCTCCAAGAACAGTTGCTATTGTATGACTATGTTTTGTCTTTAGTTAGCGATGGTGGTGGTGAGGTGCAGTGTTGAGGTGAATGTTATCTCACCCGTCTGGTAGGTGTTCTCCATTTTCACAACCTTCCGAGCGTCATCGTGGTGTCCAAATTCATCAATGGATGACTCAATACTCACGGAGCTGAAAGACAGGATCACAATGAAGAACATGACAGAAGAATGACTGTGGTGTTTACATCATCTGATTGAGTGACTTAGAGCGATGTGATAATCAAAAAAAGATTGTTTAAAAGTTACATGCTGGATATCAGTCACAGACTAAGTCTGTTTACTGAAGATGGAAGATATAAAATAGTACTTTCCAGTGTGATTTCACAGTTTACTCACTCCTTAGTCCTGCCAGTGGTTTCCTTGCATTTGACTCCATGACTTGCCTCTGAGGGAGCCTTCAGCGTCCTCTTCTCTCGTTTCTGAGGTTTGTCTTTCAGCAGCTCAGACATGACGCTGTTTTTCACAGGATAATAACCAGGCTTAAATACAAGGTCGATACATCAGTTAATATTAAAACATGCAGTAGTACACAGGATGTGATCGGGGTTAGGGTGAAAATTTGCTTATTATGGAGTGGTTGGAAATGGCAAGGCAAAATGGCTCAACAGTGCCCCTAAAACAATATTCCTTCTACTTTTCCACAGGGCTCCATCATCAGTAAATATCACCCAAAACTTGAGAGAACACATCATATATCATAATTGAAAACAATATTGGACTAATGACACTGCCCTGAGGAGTACCATTTTCTACCATTTACCTTCCTGATAAAGTTGTCCCAATTCTTACCTGAATAAATATATCAAATATAAAGTCTCTGATCCAATTATATGTCCATCTGCTGTGTCTTCTTCCTCTTCTTCGTTCCCTGTTTTCCTTTATGACATATCAAAGGCTGTCAAGGTGTCTTTGATATTACAGCCATCTAAATGTATATAAATACAAATAAAGTGACTTAAATGTACAGTGTGTAGAATTTAGTGATATCTAGTGTTGAAATTGTATGTTGCAGCTGAATAACCCTCACCTCACCCTCTCCTTCCAAACATGAAAAAAAACCTGTGGAAGCCTTTAATCGTCATAAAAACTCAAAAGGTGTTTAGTTTGTCCAGTCTGGACTAATGTAAAAAACATGGCGGCCTCCGTAGAGAGGGTCCCCT